AGTCAGTCATGGGATTAGAAAAAATGGACAGTAGTGTCTGAATTGCCCAGCAGGAAGCTGCCTCTCACATTAAGATGAGATTGATTTTGCTCATGGTTAAGAATAGGCTAAAAACAAAACAAAAAAACCTGAAACTCCCCCTTCTCAAATCACATTCTCTTTGTCTCCCAGTGCCCATCTAACATGGGGATTCTTCCCATTTGCCATGGAGCTTCCTTCTGCTTCTGTACTGCAGAGGTACTTCTCCAACAAATTCAGAGAGAACCCACACAGCTGTCATGAGCTGAGGGTACCCCAAGCCGCGTGGAGGTGCTCGAAATTGGTAATACCCTGTCCTTGCTAACACATGTGATTAGCAAGCTTTAGGACGTGTTAGAATTCTTTAATTGCAAATATTCTGAAATTCAACCCTCCCATCCTAGAAGGCAATCATGAAACAGAATCTTATAAAACATGCTAGAAAGGGAAGGTTAGAGGAGGGGCCAACATTCATTGTGCAATGACTCCCGGTGCTTTGCACTGAATTGGCTGTGAACTTATGTTAAGCCCCTGGTTGGATCACAGCTACACACAGTAACCAAAGCGACTGCCAAAGTATGCAGAAAATCGAACACACGCACCCTGGCTCCCACATGCTTGTCAAGCCATCTTTCTTCTTTCTATTCTATGGAAGGGGGTCTACATCCTTCTAGTAACCTATCTCTACCAATGGGCTCAAGGCAGACCCAGCCTGTGCTGCTTGAACCACCCTCATCTACCAGAAGAACAGAACAACACCCCCACACGGCCAGCAACATCCCGCGGTTGGCTGCATGATCTCTTTGAGAAATGGAACACTCAGTTCTTTGTCTGTTTTCTTGTTTTACAATTATTTACTCTGCCCATAGAAATCTGATGGGTCTTAGAACACTTGGCTCAATGGCGTTATCCATCTTCCCATCACTGTGGCGTCAGAGCATAATACCACACCCTGACAACCCAGGCCTTGAGAAGCAAATATTTTCCGAGAGTTTCTTCAGAGAGAATCCATGAAATAATCTTGACTTTACATGTTCTAAGTAAAGGATTTCAGCTGCAAAGAGTAATATATGGAACGCTTAAGCTTTCCCAGTTTCACTTTTCAGTTGGCAGATGCCTGTCCTCCCTTACTCCAAAATCTGGCAAAATACTTTTCAGCATTCCTGTTGGTTTGCCAAGCTATGCTACGCTGTAGACAAAATTAACTTTTTAAACTCTGGCACGTGAATGTTTGAAACAAAACCCTGTTTTAAAATATCTATGCTATATCACAGACTGGGTGGCTGGGCTCCAATAGACTCAGGACAGAATCAAATTATTGTAACCCAAGTTCCAATCCACGTTGAGGTTCCGACACTGCCACCGCCAAACCTGAACTCCCTGAGGGAGAAATGCGCCTTGTTTCATGGAGCACAGTTCTGGCACAAAGAAGCCACTGTAAAAGTTTGTTGTTTAAAAGAACAAGATGGACACTGTATCACATCAACAGTAAGATCTGTGTCAGGGTAGCTGTGGTGGCTCATGCCTGTAATCCCAGCATTTTGGGAGGCCAAGACAGGCAGATCACTTGAGGTCAGGAGTTCAAGACCAGCCTGGTCAACATACTGAAACCTCCATCTCTACTAAAAATACAAAAAAAAATTAGCCAGGCATGGTGGCATGTGCTTGTAATCTCAGCTGGTAGGGAGGCTGAGGCATGAGAACTGCTCGAACCAAGGTGGTGGAGGTTGCAGTAAGCCGAGACCGTGCCACTGCACTTCTAGCCTTAGCGACAGAGCAAAGGTCTATCTCAAAAAACAAAAGGCCAGGCGCGGTGGCTCATACCTGTAATCCCACCATTTTGGAAGGCCAAGGCAGGTGGATCACCTGAGGTCAGGAGTTTGAGACCAGCCTGACCAATATGGTAAAACTCTGTCTCTACTAAAAATACAAAATTAGCTGGGCGTGGTGGCAGGTACTTGTAATCCCAGCTGTGAGGGAGGTTGAGGCAGGAGAATCACTTGAACCCAGAAGGCAGAGGTTACAGTGATCCAAGATGACACCACTGCACTCCAGCAAAACTTCATCCCCAAAAAAAAAGATCTGTGTCAACTGTAAAGGTCTTTGTGATTGTTGCTGGAGCAAGGGATATTCTACGCACTCCTTTAAGTCACATAAAGAAACAAAAGACTCTGAACAACAAAACAATCTAGTCTACATGTCTAAATATCCTGCTTATATCACAAAAAAGAAAAAGAAAAAAGAAAAAAAAATCTAGTCTAATGGTTTGTAATGGTTTCTATTCTACAGACTCTCCCAAAGAATATTATTATTTTTGGCCCTTCTAAAAACATAGTTAAAAAAAAGTCTTAAAATTCTCAAGCACATTATTTACTCCTTTAGAAGCAGAATTTATAGACAAGGAGAGCACAGACCAAATCAATTTTTAAAACTAAGGGGAGGCCGGGCGCGGTGGTTCACGCCTTTAATCCTAGCACTTTGGGAGGCCGAGGTGGGTGGATCACCTAAGGTCAGGAGTTCAAGACCAGCCTGGCCATCATGGTGAAACCCCATCTTTAAAAAAAAAAAAAAATTAAAGGGGAAAAAGAGGTACACATCTAAGGGCTGAAGTCATTGCTACCCAAAGCCCCCTCAGCTCAGTTCTTGATCTTCAAATCCCGGGGGAGGGTAATTTTTGGATGAGGGATTATACCTCAGCTACTCTGGTATTTATAAAACATTTTGGCAGGTGCTCTGCCAGGCAGTCTATAATTAGTGAATATGCCTCAGAAACGTAAAGTGAACTCAAAGGGTTTCAAATGCCAACAGCCAGCCCCCTGAATACTGAGCTACGTAATCATAGGGCTGCCATCATCTAGATAACTTGGTGCTGGGTGCCCTGCCACGGTGCACACGCACACACCAGTTCTGAAGAGTCTTTTTTTAAACCTCTAATGGCTTGACCTCAACACCTGCTACACTTCCTGAAGACAGACAAGCTCTGGAGCTCCACTTGTTCCTCGCATGCGGCTGCACTTTCTAGGAACGACCGCACACACGCAGACGCTGGCCAGCTGCCAAGGCGGGGGCAGCCCAGCCGCCTCGGGCCTGAACTTTCCCAGCGCTGTCAGGGCAGGATCCCGCTATGAGCTGACTCAGCGGCCGGTATGGAACTCTGCCAACCACACAGCAGTGCGGGGGCAGCCGGCAACTCACAGATGTTTTGCTAAACCAAAGCAATCAGTGGGGGCGGGTCTGGGCTGGCGGCCAGGGTGCTGCTGTCGTGGAAGTTGGGATTCTCTGATTCCAGTCCTAGCTCTGCGGCTAACTCCCTGGGTGATGTGAGCGAAAACCTCTGCATCTCAGTACCTCTCCTACTTCGGAGGCATGTCTGTGTGATGCAGGAGAAGATGGCACTGTTTACATAAAAGAGCTCCAGGAGCACTATTACCTACCACGTGCCTGGCACTGGACAGGCTTTCACGTGTGCCAGCTCGGTTAATCCTTACAACATCCTTGGGAGGTGCTTTCATTCTTTTTATTTCACGGATGAGAAGATAACAGGCTCAGAGCAATTCGGAGCCCAATTAAAAGATCACAAGGGCAATCAATGGAAGTGACGGGATTTGAACCCCACTTCTGGCTGCAAACACTGCTCCTGTGACACTCAAATCTACTGCACAGGCCTCCCGATCCAAGACGTTTGATTTTTCAGGTTCCAGAGGACCTTTCTTATATGACTTCTGTTGCCCTGTGAAAACCCACAGCTTTTCACAAATGATTTCTAAACAGTACCAATGGATCACAAGAAGTGTGTGTGCTTATGCAGGGTACCCAGGGACTACTGGTTTTATCATGAACTCCCTTCCTAACCACCAAAAGTCAATCAACCTGGAACAACTTATCATCACTCCCATTCTTTGAGTGAGGAAAAATTATATTGTGGGTCACAAAGAGAAGATGAATCAGAAGTCGAAGGCTTGGCTAAAAACTAAGATTCCCTAGGCTCCACCCTCCAAGACAGTTCATTAGGACTCTGCAGTCTGTATTTTTTACAAAGCTCCCTAGCTGACTCTGATGCTCAGCCATTTGATAGTCACTTCAGCTTTCCTTGACTAAAAAGGAAATTTTGAGGTCTACCCTTCCCTGCTGTCAAGAGGATGACGTAACAGCGAAATGAAATCATGTCTACAAGGCTCTTTGTTGGAAAATATACATAATACAAGTGCTTCTTTTCAGCTGTGTTAGGTAGAAAACAACCAGCTGTCCTTAAAGAGCACAATCCTGGGTTAGCCTGGAGCTAAGAAATTGTCTGAGCAAGAATGCTTTTACACTACTGTGAGAAAACATAATTATTAGAAAAACTCTAATTAGTCACACGTATCATTTTAGATATTCCTCATGACATTGTTGCAACTTCATCCTTCCTTAAAAAAATGAGATTGTATTGACATTCTTTCCCATCAAACTTGGAAAAACCTATACTGGGTCGGGCACGGTGATGCACCTGTAATCCCAGCACTTTGGGAGGCCAAGGCAGGTTGATCACCTGAGGTCAGGAGTTTGAGACCAGCCCACCCAACATGGAGAAACCCCAACTCTACTAAATACAAAAAATTAGCTGGGTGTGGTGGTGCATGCCTGTAATCCCAGCTACTTGGGAGGCTGAGGCAGGAGAAACACTTGAACCTGGGAGGCGGAGGTTGCAGTGAGCCCAGATGGCGCCACTGCACTCCAGCCTGGGCAACAAGAGCGAAACTCCGTCTAAAAAAAAAAAAGAAAGAAAAGAAAAGCCTTTATTAAGAGTAACATACATTTCATTGCTTTAATGAAGAAGACAAATATTAAGTAAGAAAAAATTCCAAGTCTATTCATGTCTAGGTGGTTGGTCACTCAAGTGGGGTGAGAAGGCACAGACTGGCACAGCCCCTGATGCTGTCAGTCCAGTACCCCTCTCCAGCCTTTAGGAAAAACAAACGACCTCCCATACCAGAAAGACTGACCTGCTTGAGCTGCTCATCCAGACTCCAGTTCGGCTGCCCGGCTGTGGAGACAGAAGGAGGGGCCTTGGAAGCATCTTTGGTATGGTCTTCTTCAGGCTGTTGTCCATGTGGTGGGAGCCCTGGTGCTGGAAGTAGATTGGACATGGGTGCCGCTCTGGGATCCTGGCGAGCTGCTTGCTGCACATGAAAATATTTTGAAGCAGCCTGGGTTTCTTTCTCACCCACCTCTGCAACTTCATCATCCCCATCCTCATCCTCCAAACCTCCTTCTTCTTCCTCAGGCTCTGAGTTCACGCTGCCCCGTTCAAAACCTTGGGCCACTGCTGTGGTGGCTGGGACTCTGGCTAAGGGACCCAAGGGAGTGCTGCCAGAAGGCCTCCCAGGTGTGGCCGAAAGGAGAGTCCGCTGTGTGACCAGCTTTTGGGCATACAAGAACTGGGCTTCTCTCATCTGCTGGCCCTGCTTCTCTCTGGCATCCATCTGCAGAGGAGCCAGGTGAGGCTGCTTCTGTTGCTGCTGCTGCTGCTGCTGCTGCTGCTGAAGTGGCTCCATTACTGCCTCAAGCTTCACCCACAGAGTGGCATGACTCTGAACCTGGGCACAGCCCACCAGGCACACTGGGTCTAAACCTTAAATGATTAACAGAAAGCACAAAGGAGGGGAAAAAACAACTATGTGAAACAGATATAAAAAGGTTTCCTTTCCTCCAGTAGAGGGCCATGAGTTCCGAATGCTAAACATATGCTCCTAAACCTGAGTTTTAAGATGAGTGAGCTGTGGGGGGTTTGTGGGTGGGTAGGAAAACGTGCGAAGAAGAGAAACAGGATCTAAGAGGGGAAACAGGGAATAAATCTCAGTAGTAGCAGCAGCAGACTACTGAGTACCATACTATTAATAGAAGTATATCCAGCCAGTATCTAGTCTGCTAACATGTGTTCTGATCTTTCTTCCTCAACCTTATCAAACATTAATCTGTGACTGAATTAATGTTACCGAACATTCATTACTGAAAAGGTAACTGGGTTTGCACTGTAGCTGAAGCTGCAATCGTGCAAACAATAATAATAAAGGGAAAGAACAGCCTGCCTGCAAAAGAGAGAATATGTTCCCAAGCCCATCAGAGAAAGGTATCACCTCTAAGCTAGACCCAGAACTATCAGGCAGACAGTTTTTCTCTCAAAGAAAAAGCAAGACCAAGCAAGCTGCTCTTGGGTTTAAACTTTTCAAATCTCCCCTATCAAACTGCCAGCGTGCTTGTTGAGCAGACTGAGCCATACTAACTGGACAGTATAGCCTCAGAAAGAATCCAATTTCAACAACATGAAAGAAACACACAACGAGGCAAGAGTCTCAAATTGCAATCGTCACTCAAAAGCAAATGGGGGAATTCCTCTGGAGATTTTAAAGTTAATTAATTTGAAACAGATATCAACATTGAACAAGTTAATGCTGCGTTGCTTTTTTTTTTTTTTTTTTTTTTTTATAAACAGTCAAGTAAATCTCTTTACATCCCCTTTCTTTCTGATTCATTTCTACTATGATATTCTCTGGCACATACAAAAAGAAAAGGCTTTCGGGCCAAAAGCATTCTGGGGGCAGGTTTATCTGCATTCTTACCAATCAGTCTCCAAACACACATCACTTTCACACCCTCTTCTTTAGCTCCCCCACCTCTACCCTGCAGGCCCTCACCCCCAACAACTTCACTGGAGTTATGTTTCTTCAGCAAGCCTCCGTAACTGAATAGATGACTATGCAAGGGCAAATTTTAGGTGAACAGGACTTGCAACATGGCGTACAGTTTTGTCATCACATGAAAGAAGCTGTACTGCACATGTTGGGACTTGATATCTGCAATGTTCCAGTGTTTTAGGATTGGGTCGAAAGACAAAAAAAAAAAAAAAACAACTAAGTGTCTTTATTTAGCATCTTCAAGAATTCACGGAAAAGTAATCACATTTTTAGCAATAAAAACTGCTTGAAGATTTTTTTCCAGGTTAGAGTAAAAAAGGTACAAGTTTTAAAGCTAGGCCAATTAGGAGCGATAAAACTTCTCATCTGCTGTTTATCTTCCAGCACTGTTTGTGTCTTTTGTATTTCTGTGAAAGATTCGAATTCCAATTTGCCTCTTACTGCCTTTACTTCCTCTCTTGGCACTTTACAAGTGTGAGTGACGCTAGCAGCAATACTTGCATTCTGCTTTAGCTCTTCTTACAGTGTAAAAAAGTATGACAAGATTTACATCCACATTAAATTCAGTTGGCAAAAGTGTTCATTTAAAATGAAAACAATTTGGGTCAAATAAAATTACAGAATAAAGCAAATAACTCGGTGTTCAATTTAAATGTCCTCATAGTCATTACAGTCAATAAATCACGATCGGAATAATTTCTAAACCAAGTCCTGCCAGTCACTGAACAACTGCTTCTTGTCTTGTGGCACCATCTTCTCTGAATGCTGTTCCCAGCAGAGGGGGAGGTGTCCCTCCCACAGCCTCTTATAGTAAGACTGAGATGACTCAGTTCTACAACTCAATACACACACCCTCCCCCAAAGAGCCCATCTTCCTGCAGTCCCTAAGCAGCCAGCGATCCAAACAATACCACCTGCCTACATTTGGAGAACTTATGTCTCAAATCTAAACCTCTTCATCCCTTCACACGGCCCCTCCCCCATTTCCCCTAAAGTTCCCGGACCACCAAGCCTGGTGCAACAGACTGCCTGAAGCTTTGAACCCGGCCTGCTGACCATTTCCCTACCTTTGCTGCCGGATTCTTTGGGCCCCAGGCCCCTTCAAGTACCACAGCCCACCTCCCCGGTCACCCCAGCACGCCTCCCCCCATTCTTTACTCACCTCCCCCCATCCAGCTCTATCACTTTTACCTCTACCAACCCTCCCAGCCAATCCGCTGGCTCTTCTCCGATGGCCCCCGCCCCATCTATCTGCGCCCACTCAGCTCCAAGGCCCCTCGCCGTTCTCATCGCTTTATCTCAAATGCCCTAATGGGCACAGGGCGCCCGGGTCTCCCGGGGCTCCCTCGGCGCTCTCACTTTCCTTCGCTGTCCCCGCGCCCCCGGCCCGCGCCTTCCCTTCTCTCTCCACACCTGCCCGGGGCCCTCCACCTGCCGCACCCTCCGCTCCCGCCGTGAGCTAGGGAGCCGGGACCCGTGGCGCTTACCTGTGCGGGGCGCTCCGGGTTTTCGGGCGGCGGAGGAGGCGGCCGCTCAAGCCCCGGCGCGGCAGCAGCGTCTCGGACTCCTCCGCAGCCGGGGGCCACAGCCGGGGCGGGGCCCGCACCGGAAGCGGCGCCGCGGGGCCGAACCGCCGGCCAGGGGCGGGGGCGGGGCGGGGGAGGGGCGGAGCCAGAGGGGGTGGGGCGGGCCCGAAGCCGGAAGCGGCTAAAAAGGGACCGAGGGGTGGGGCGAGGCGGAAGTGACTCCTAGGGGCTGCGCCGCCCGACTGAGTCGTGGGAGGAAGCGTGTGGAAGCGGGCGGAAACTTCGGCCAATGGCAAAGTGCGGACATGGGGGGGTTCCGGTGTGAGCACTTCCGCAGGGAGTTGAAAAGAACCGGGCTGGAGGGTTCTGAGCGTTTTCTGTTGCGGAGGTTGGTGTGGCTCCGGCGGCTGGTTGGGAGGAAAGTAAATAAAGAACAGAGGGGCGTAGGGTTTGCCGCTGCTTCAGTCCCTTCAGTCTCCTGCCTTCAAGCCGGTCTTCCTCAGGGATTCCCGCGTTTAGATCAGCTTTTCTCTAAACTTCTCCGCCCGTTCTTGGGGCAGAACCCTAGCTGTCTCGAGAATGTTGCGTCCCTTGGAACCCTCTCATGTGAATTGGTATTCTCTGTTCTCAGTTTCCAAGGGTCAGGATTATGTGCCAGGTGCTGTCCCCTCTTGTAAAAACACTTGCTTCTCCGACGCTTTCTCTTAGACTCTGCCACCTGTTTCACCCCGCTTGGAGATAATCTGCCCATCTGTGTTATCCAACTCCTTGACATTATTCCCTCTGACTATCTTCCTTGACAATTTCAGAGCCTTTGTGGCCAACCCATTCAACATTGGGCTTTGCCCTCAGCGACCTTTATGTCAGCCTCCCAATCCCAGTCAAAACCTGGACCTTGTCCCAATAAACACTATCGCGTTACGACTCAGTAATTTTTTTTTTTTTTTTTTTGAGACGGAGTATTGCTTTGTCGCCCAGGATGGAGTGCAATGGCGCGATCGCGGCTCACTACCACCTCCGCCTCCCAGGTTCAAGCACTTCTCCTGCCTCAGCCTCTCGAGTAGCTGGGTCTACAGGCGCGTGCCACCACGCCCGGCTAATATGTATATTTTTTATTTATTTCTAATATCCAATGTGATAGCATAATTTTTGTATTTTTAGTAGAGACGGGGGATTCACCATGTTGGCCAGGATGGTCTCGCTCCATTTACCTCGTGATCTGTCCGCCTCAGTCTCCCAAAGTGCTGGGATTAAAGGTGTGAGCCAACGCACCCGGTCAGGGCTCAATAATTGAACAACCCTCTCTTCAACCACAGCCTGCTATCCTCTCTCAGCTTAACTACTTTTGAATTATAGGCCAGGTGCGGTAGCTCACGCCTGTAGTTTCAGCACTTTGGTAAGGCCAAGGCAGGCGGTTCTCTTAGGCCCAGTAGTTGGAGACCAGCCTGGGCAACATGGTGAAACCCGGTCTCTACAAAAAAATACAAAACTTAGTGGGGCGTTTTGGCGCACGCCTGTGGTCCCATCTACTCGGGAGGCTGAGATAGGAGATCACCTGAGCCCAGGAGAGGAGGCGGAGGTTGCAGTGAGCCGTGATTGTGCCACTGCTTTCCAGCCTGGATGACAGAGTTTCCACTTCCACACCCCCATTACAGCATAATAACTGTTCTTTCACTTTTTTTTTTTTTTTAAACAGTGTCTCTGTTGCCCTGGCTGGAGTGCAGTGGCGCGATCTCAGCTCAATGCAACCTCCCCTCCCGGGTTCAAGCGATTCTCCTGCCTCCGCCTCCGGAGTAGCTAGGATTACAGGTGCACGCCACCACAACCAGCTAATTTTTGTATTTTTAGTAGAGACGGGTTTTGCCATGTTGGCCAGGCCGATCTCGAACTCCTGATCTCAGGTGATTTGCCCGCCTGGGCCTCCCAAAGTGTTGGGATTACAGGTGTGAGCCAGTTCTTTCACTTTATCAGAGCATCTAATCAGTTGAAAGCCTCTGCTTTCTCTCTTATCCTCTACTCTTCACTTCCCTCCTTATCCAGTTAAGATTCAGTGGTATACCATTATAAACCTGCCCGTACTTAATCTTAATCCCACCACACTCCCTTTTCCCCAGCAAAATCCCTCACCCTGGATGGACTTACATGTTTCTCCTTGCTTGTATCTTGTCATAGAAAATTGTACTGCTGAGGCTGGGTGCGGTGGCTCATACCTGTAATCCCAGCACTTTGGAAGGCTGAGGCAGGAGGATCACCTGAGGTCAGGAATTCAAGACCAGAATGACCAACATGGTGAAACCCCATCTCTAATAAAAATACAAAAATTAGCCAGGCATGGTGGTGAAGGCCTATAATCCCAGCTATTCCAGAGGCTGAGGCAGGAGAGCTTGAACCTGGGATGTGGAGGTTGTAGTGACCTGAGATCGCGCCATTGCACTCCAGCCTGGGCGATGAGAGCGAAACTCCATCTCAAAAAAAGAAATGAAAAGGCCGGGCATGGTGGCTCACGCCTATAATCCCAGCATTTTGGGAGGCCAAGGCGGGTGGATCACAAGGTCAAGAGATCGAGACCATCCTGGTCAACAAGATGAAACCCCATCTCTACTAAAAATACAAAAATTAGCTGGGCATGGTGGTGCACGCCTATAATCCCAGCTACTTGGGAGGCTGAGGCAGGAGAATTGCTTGAACCCAGGAGTTGGAGGTTGCGGTGAGCCGAGATCGTGCCATTGCACTCCAGTCTGGGTAACAACAGAGAAACACCCATCTCAAAAAAAAAAAGAAAGAAAGAAAAGAAAATTGTCCTGCTGAACAAATTGGCATCACTAAATTAATAATTACCAACTATTAATGAACTGTGGGTGGGTTGCAGTTATTCATGCCTGTAATCCCAGCAGTTTGGGAGACAGAGGCTGGCGGATCACGAGGTCAGGAGTTTGAGACCAGCCTGTTCAACATGGTGAACTCCCGTCTCTACTAAAAAATACAAAAATTGTCTGGGTGCAGTGGTGGGCACCTGTAATCCTAGCTACGCAGGAGGCTAAGGCAGGAGAATTGCTTGAACCCTGGAGGCAGAGGTTGCAGTGAGTTGAGATCGCACCATGGCACTCCAGCCTGAGTAACAGGGCAAGACTCTATTTCAGGGGGAAAAAAATGGACTGTGAACTGTGACTAGAAATTTTATTATATTTTTCTAGTCAACTTGCTCTCCACGATATCTTTTTTTTTATTTTACTCTGCACTGTCTGTTAATTCCTTCAGCGCTCTCCACAATCTCTACAAATCTGATCCTACACCCATACCACTTCCCCCGATTTCCTTATCGTATAAGTAACAGAAAATATAGAGTGTCCTGAACTCAAGAAACCTGCTTACTTGTATTCCCATCCTGTCCTTCCCTCCTATGTATTCAATGAAAAATATTCATTGAACTCCCACTATATACCAGATCAGGCACTTATGTAGATGCTTACTCAGCAGTGGACAAAATAAATTCCCAGCTCTCTTTACTAGTTCCTTTACTAGGAGAGAAAAGTATATAATGTCAGAGATATATGCTATGAAAAAACAAAGCAGGGTAGGGGTTAGACAGTCGGGTCAGGTAGCTGCTATTTTAGATATTAGTCAGCGACGAATTTATGATAAGGAGCCCTTAAGCAGAAACTGGAATTGACTTAATGGGTGTGAGCGTAGATATCTAGGGGAAGAGTGTTCCAGGCCAGGGAGATAGCAGATTCAAATGCCCTCAGGCAGGAGCCTGCTTGAGGTGCTATAGGAACAGCAAGGAGACCACTGGGTAGATTCAGAGTGAGTGACAGGGAGAGTGGTAGGAGACCAGATGAAAAGGTATCTGGGGCCTTATCATGCAGGGCCTTATAAATTATGGCAACAATTTTGCCAGTCACCACTGAAAGCCCTGGAAAGTTTTGAACAGAAGAGTGACTTGATCAGAATTGTATCTCTATATAGATCATTCTAGCTGTTGTGTGGAGAATGGGAGAGTAGAGGGGTAAAAGTAGAAGCACTCATCCTGGCAGAAGATGACGGTGGCCTGAACTAGATAACAGCACTGGAGGTAGTGATAAGTGATTAGATTCCAGGTATACTTTGAAAGCCAGCACAGTGGCTCACGTCTGTAATCCCAACACTATGGGAGGCTGAGGTGAGTGGATCACGTGAGCCCAAGAGTTTGAGAACAGCCTGGCGACATGGTGAAACTCCATCTACCAGTAAATACAAAAATTAGCCAGGTGTGATGGTGTGTGCCTGTAGTCCTGGCTAGTCAGGGGGCTGAGATAGGAGGATGGCTTGAGCCCGGGATGGAGGCTATAGTGAGCCATGATCACGTCACTGCACTCCAGACTGGGCAACAGAGATAGACCCTGTCTCAAAACAAGTAAGTAAATAAATAGATAAAGTGAAACCACCAAGATTTGCTGATGGACTGGTTGTATAGACTAGAGAAGAGAGTGAAGGATGATGCCTAGGTTTTTGGCCCAACTAACTGTTAGAATAGTGGTATCATTTACTGACCTAAGGGATACTAGCAGAAACCAACACCAATGGAATAGTAGCAATAAAAAGGAATAAAGTAGGGCCTGGCATGGTGGCTTACACCTGTAATCCCAGCACTTTGGGAGGCCAAAGTGGGCAGATCACCTGAGGTCGGGAGTTGGAGACCAGCCTGACCAACATGAACAAACCCAGTCTACTAAAATACAAAATTAGCCAAGTGTGGTGGTGCATGCATGTAATCCCAGTTACTGGGGAAGCTGAGGCAGGAGAACCACTTGAACCCTGGAGGTAGAGATTGCAGTGAGCCAAGATTTTGCCATTGCATTCCAGCCTGGGTAAATGTAAGTCAGTGATTGCCAGGAGATAAGGGGATGGAGGGAATGATAGCAAAAAGGAGGATTTGGGGGTGATGGAATTCTTTTGAATCCTGATTGTGGTAGTAGTTACATGAATCTGTACGTGTTGAAGTCCACAGGACTGTATATAACAAAAATAAAGTCAATTACTGGATGATGACAGACACATAGTCATCACCCCATCTGACATCTGACCAACTGCCAGATGTGTGTGAGTGTGGCCCCTTAGACCAGCTAGCCTGCCAGCCACCACAGA